GTAAAATCTATTCAACTCTCTAATAAGGAAAATCCCAAAGGCTTGGTAGCCATCATAATGAAGTAATGAAATTGGGTGCTTATTATTATGTTATGCTAAATTTAGAGCATCTGGTTTCAAATAGCAGTTTTGCAGTAATTAAGATTGAAATATTTTGCTTTAAAGAAATTACTATTTCTGTAAAACTAGTATTACATATGAAATTGCTGTTATCCAACACAGATCAAACCAATTTTTCACAATGAAGAAAATTTAAATAGTATTAGCTTCAACCATGCATAGATAAATGTACTAGAACCTGGACGGACACATGAGCCTACCCAGGGGAGGATCCGGATGCGACCATCCATATGAGTCTAGAGTATCGCACGGGGAGGACGGTAGGTGCATAGTCCTGGGGGTTGGTCCCTAGATACGTCAACTTAGCGGAAGGCATGGAATATGCACTGAATTACAGTTACATTATAAAGGTGCAATAAGAAAATTCTTAAAAATCCGGTAAAGAAAGATGAGATTTAACGTACTACTTCAAACAGTGGCGTCCTATAACCTCACTTTTTTGCTGTGCACCAACTTTTACTACCAGATTTGATGCCATATACATACTCGAATTGGTTGGAAAATACATTTCCGGAGTGATTTGAGATTTGGGCGTAATTGCATTTGTAAACAAACACGTCAATTGCCGATTTCTCTTGAATAAAAGCTTAATCTCATAAGCAAAATATACCAAATGATAGAGGAATCATTCCTCTACCTCCTAGTGTTATTAGTTTTCGAGATTGAGCGTTTATTCGCGAGAAATCGCCGATTGACGTGTTTGTTTACAAATGCAATTACGCCCAAATCTCAAATCACTCCGGATTTAATCTTCTAGTTTACTCGATACCTATCCATTGCAAGCAATATTTTGATAATTGTTTATGTTTTGATAGTTGTTTTTGCACCAGGTAGATTGAAGTTAAGGGAACGCGAATGATTTCAAACGAACGAAATTTCGTAACTTTCTTCTTTAAAAACCTCTTCTGCTTTAGCTTTCCTTTTTTCCATACATATACTTTGATATCTACTTAAGTCCTGATCTGGTGATTTTTTTTTTCATAATAGGGCGTCCAATGTATTTATTTTCTTGCAGGCCACAGGTTGCAGCCGTTTGGGGGTTCAGTTGGCTGCGCCTGCTCTGTCCAATAGGTACGCTACTAGAACGCCAGAAGAGACAACCAATGGTGGTTAAAAAGGCACTGCTAAGTTAGCAGTGCTAACACATTTGAATAGGGATCTATTGGGGTAGCATGTTAATAGAACGCTTGTGTGAACACTTACATAAGAAATTCTGGGCTTAATTGTGTTGCTAAATCATCGGTTGACTGGGTGTGCTTTGTGGGTTGTTATTGTCGTTGCCTCGGACCGACTTCTTCGCCAGAATCGGTTCCTCTCGTGATGGGGTCCTCATCACTGAATCCGGAGAAATCTGAAGGAACTAGGTCTTCTGTTTCACTATTCCAGTCAGAGTCTGGACGCTCTTCGTGATGATTGTTACAGAATGTGAGTGAATCATGGTCTTCCAATTTTCTTCTTCTCCGTGATCGCGTATCCCAAAGGACTTTCCTGATAATCTGTTATGATGGTTCTGTTTTTATGAAAATAAAATGATGTTCTATCCCTCTAGCATGGCTATATGTTAATCCAGCGTGCAGATAGTTAATATCGTTGTATTTTTCAAAGCTTCATCGTCTTGATCTAACGAAAAGAAAATCGCCACTCGATCAAACCAAATTCAAAGGTAGTCCTGTGTGATGTCGCATTCCAAAAGTTTTGAACCAAAAATATTTTTATTTTTTTATTTGCACCCATTAGACTCATTTATTTCGAAAACCAATTCATAGTCAAAATTATAATTCTAAACTACACAATTATTTAATGTTGGCCATTAGTTAAATTCCAACAAGCTTTTGGTCCGCTACATCACAACTGGCATCACTAATGTGCATCTTTAATAATGTAAAGATACAGACACGCCCTGGGACCTGGTTGCAGTTAAGCAATCCTCAAGGTTATGACAATGCCCAGGGGTTAAGATAGGGCATTCAAATTAAATTCAAATTCAAATTAAATACTACATTGATGGGAATATTATGTTCACCCTTCAAAAAATGTCAGTAGAAACTAATCCTATACCCATTCTGGCTCTTCTGTTGATAGTTTTACCACAGACAAACAGACATAACACATTGAATATTTATCACTGTAAAACATCGTCGCTAAAACATTACCGCCATCTGTTGAGTACACTGTGGTAGGTAGTACGCTGAACAGATAGCGGTAGTGTGTAAACGTCAAACTCAAGGGAAATGACTATGCGCGCCACAGGTGGCGGTACTACCAACTACGATACTTTTAAATTGACCGTTAAATGCTTGTTCGATGAACAACTTGCGAGTGTTATGTCTGTTTGTCTGTGGTTTTACCGTCAACCAATTTCTTAGTATTACATTTTAATTTTTCAGTTCTCTTAAAGGGTGATACGGTCAAAATTTGGTCAAGGGAAAACGCGTGTAAATCGGTGAAATCGTTTATTTAAAAAATCAAATTAAATTTCTTTTTCAAGTTCAATTAGTATAAAATTCAGGAAAAATATTCAGTTAGGCTTCCGCTTTTCCAAATCCGAATTGCCGGGCCTTACGCTTGACCCCTGCCATCAGATTTTGTACAGCCACCTTGTCCACCTTCTTCGCCGCAGAAAGCCAGTTTGCCTTGAACTGCTGCTCGCCCTTAGCAGTTTTTTTGGTCTTCTTTAGGTTCCGCTTGACAATAGCCCAGTATTTCTCAATTGGGCGGAGCTCTGGCGTGTTGGGAGGGTTCTTGTCCTTGGGAACCACCTGCACGTTGTTGGCGGCGTACCACTCCATGGCCTTTTTACCGTAATGGCAAGATGCCAAATCCGGCCAAAACAGTACGGAACAACCGTGTTTCTTCAGGAAAGGCAGCAGACGTTTATTCAAACACTCTTTCACGTAAATTTCTTGGTTGACAGTCCCGGAAGCTATGAAAATGCTGCTTTTCACGCCACAGGTACAGATGGCTTGCCAAACCAGATATTTCTTTGCGAACTTTGACAGTTTCATGTGCTTGAAAACATCTGCTACCTTTCCCCTTCCTTTTTCCGTATAAAACTCCTGTCCCGGAAGCTGCTTGTAGTCGGCTTTGACGTAGGTTTCGTCGTCCATTACCACGCAGTCAAACTTCGTCAGCATCGTCGTGTACAGCCTCCGGGATCGCGCTTTGGCCGTCGTATTTTGTTTATCATCGCGATTTGGAGTCACTACCTTCTTGTAAGTCGATAGTCCGGCTCGTTTTTTGGCTCGATGCACGGTTGTAGACGATACACCCAGCTTATTTGCGGCATCTCGGAGAGAGAGGTTAGGGTTTCGCTTGAAACTACCGGCAACTCTCTTTGTCGTCTCAGCGGCTTCCGGTTTTCGATTTCTCCCCGATCCAGACTTCCTGGCTGTCGACAAACGTTCCCCAAACACTTTAATTACATTTGTAACGGTTGATTTGGCAACTTTTAGCGATTTTGCCAACTTTGCGTGCGAGTAGCTCGGATTTTCGCGATGCGCGAGCAAAATTTTGATACGCTGCTCTTCTTGCTTGGACGGCATTTTGACAACTGAAGAGTGAATTCCAAAATCAAAATAGGAGCAACATTCTACACACACACACCTTCAAAATGAGGGGTGTTCAGGTTTTTTAAATGCAAAATTGAAAGAAATACGTCAAGTTGATATTGACCAAATTTTGACCGTATCACCCTTTAAATTAACTTTTATAAAACTGCTTGTCCTGATTCCACATTTTTGTATGCATCCACGATATTAAAACATTTACAGGGCTTCAAAGAACCTTGTTGTATGTTTTTATTTTTTTCCAGGGTTAAAACTTTTAAGAGCAAAAGCTTTCTTTAAAAAAAATAAGTTCAAACCTTAACTTTTCTAAATTAGGAATAATAAACCATTCGAATGCCTTAATTTCTACAACTCTAGTCTACAATATTGATCAAAAATCTGCTGAACGTCAAGCCGTCATTTTTATCAATTGCCTTTTTTTAAAGTAAAAAAACAGTTATAAAAATTACTTAATAAAAAAAATCCACGCCCAACGCAAATTAAGCGCCAGCTGTAACAGTCCTGTATGTAAGTCCTTATTGCTACCACTATTTCAGCAATTCATGGTCAATTAAGTTAATGTAAATAAAAAGTGAACAACATTTGATGGACTTGCCATTAAAAACCACTGATTCAGCAATTCTACCGCTTTCTTACCTGTAAATGAAAACAAAAAGAAACTTTTTCCGAAATCCTCTTTCCGTCCTGTAAAGTCATTGCATTTACAACGATTAAACAAACCTGTACTACTAGCATTCCACACATCGGTGCTACACTGATTCAGTGTTGCATGCATGTGCCGTAGCACGCAAAAAGGAAATTAATTCAAACGCTGTTACATTCCAATTACGAAAATGTCACATCTTGCCTTCCGACCCGAGGCTGGAAAATTGATTTGAAAATTCATTGCATTTTCCTTGGCTTCTTCCCCATCAATTGCTCATACGGTACGAGGCGAGCTCTGTCCGTATTCACTTTCCTAAAAATGCTAAAAAGGACGATGAAGTCGCGCGCTAGCTGCAGGCTGACTTACGTCGCGGCTCGATTCGCAAACAAATCAAAAAACTTTTTTATGATGCCTTTTCTCATTTTGCGCGCAAACGTTCTCCGGATATATACGTATCTAACTAGCTAGCTACCAGGCACAGAGCATTTATTATTGGCCTTTCTCGCTATGTTTGTGCCATAAAACCGTGAAAATGTGCTCATACTTGGGGTGGGCGGTGCGCTTTATGCCCTCTGCCCAATGTAAACCAATAAAAATCAAACAATTTACTTCAATTTGTGTTACTTACTTTGTTGATTCTTTCTTCTTCTATATGGGGCACATAACAGCATGGTAAAATCGTTAACCTCATGTTTGGCACCAACGTTCCGAAGTTGATCAATCTTATCACCGAAGAGCTGGACACCGAACTGAAATGTCGCGCTGGGGAGGTCGAACGAAAGTACTTCCAACTGCACGAGCTGACCCCAGAAGAACAGGAACGTGAAGATGCGCGAAAGGCAATCGAAGATGAGGCCGAGAGGATTGAGAAAGAGGCTGCCATCAAGAAACGAAGAGATTACATCATCTTCGTGACGGATACGATTATGCAAAATATCAGAGACATGGGAATCACTTTGTTCATGCCGCATGTGCACAAGGATGTGTACAAAAAACTGAACGACATGGCGGAAAAGCACGATCTCCATTTTAAGGAAAAACGATTGGTCCATTTGAGCCCGAAGATGCTGGAAGTGCTTCATTTCGATTGTGAAAATCGAATGGAAGACGAAGTTTTCGAACAAATATTCTACAAAGAAGTTCAGGCGTACGTCTGGAAACGGCAAGATGATGTGACGCGTGATCCCGAAGATGTCATCGGCGATTTTGTCCGCTTTCTGACCGAACCTGCCGAAGTGTTGGACAGCGATGGTAATGTGGAGAAAGTTATTCCGCCGTTGATCGAACCATTGGAAATGATTTACAATCCCAATGATGGCAAATGGAATGCGGTGGACAAGAATCCCCCACAGAAGAAGAAAGGATCTACCATTTCAGTAGAATCGTCGCAAAGCACGTCCTCCAAGGAAACGTTCGATGAAGAAAGCTGTCCCAAAATGTACGTCCCGGGTGTGTGGAGTCCCACCAATAGCAGAGCAACGGCCGCGTTGTTCTATTTGCTGTTTAGACATGTGAGGCAATAATGTATGAATTAGTTAAATCAATTTAAAATGAACGATTTTTCATTACAGTTAGCCGAATTCCTCCCACCGGACCCGGTTCCGGAACCGCCGCACATTTGTATGGTATTCGATGCATACAAGAAGCGAGATGTCTTCGAAGTGATCGGTAAATACAGTCGAGATGTAATAGCGCATGGTTTTTTCACCTCCGGAGATCCAAAGACTGCAGAGCTTATTGCAAAGACGGCTGAGCGCTATGTCCGTTTGAAGCCGAACGTTAACGATAAGTTGATTCTGAAGGTCGCCAAGGCCACCAGCCATGCAATGTTGGCTCTGACCGCGGTTGGGCCTTGCTATCTCAGTCAGAACGCAGTAGAGGGCCAGGAAGAATGCGCTGTTCTATTTCCGCCCAACTATAGCCAAATCGAAGAGGAAGCGGAAGCTGCTGAGGAGACGAAGAAGAAACACAAGAAGAAAAGACGTGGAAAAAAGAGCGATACTTCGGTTTCGACTTCGGAATCGGCAACTTCTTCCACTCCGACGGCTGATCAGGGTGCCGATGGTCAAGGGGAAGGTGGAGAACTGGGAACGATCGGAGAAGGTTCAACCGGAGAGGAAGGCGAAACGACGTCTTCGTCTACAAACTCTCCCGAAAAGATTGGTGGGCCGGGCGAGGAAGGCGGAGAAGAGCAAAAGTCTTAAACTGTATGGATTGGAAATTTCTTTTCGTTCCATTTCAAGGAGGTAGCTTGCATTTTTTTTTTTGATTCATTGTATTTTCCACTGTCACAACAAAATAAATAGACAAGTCCCGATGCGGACTCTGTACGTTTCGAGTGAGAGTAGTATGTGTAATACTAAACTAGCTTGTGTGTGTATGCTTTTTCTCCAGCTTAATGTTTAATCTTTTGGGATTTCCTCAATGTCGAATAATTTAAAAAAAACATAAAGAAAATGTACACATCTACCTCGTTTCTGAACTAAATCAAACTAAAATATCACCTCTCTGTTATGCAAGTATATAAAACAAATTTTTAACCCAAATCAGTCTCCATGTCATAAAAAACACCCACCGCTCACGGCGAGTCCACTTCATATATTATCTCTACTATATACCTTTCCCTAGGTATGTACCAACCTAATCCAACCTTGCAGGATTTTCTCACTTGAACCGGAAAACTCGAACGCGAACAAATCCAGCCTGATAACCGATGGCGTAGTATTGCTGTGACTTTTCGTTTGGATTCCACCGAACCTGGTTGACCCGGATGCCGGGATATTCGTGCAGCAAGGCACGACGGAACGACTTCACCTGCAGCGATCGCAGATCCATGCGGGATGAGTGCTGTAGGTGGAAGAGATAAGAGGGGTGACCTATTGTAGTCAGTTATGACGAGTGGTTTAAACTACTACCGTTGTACTCCTTCCAACTAGTATCGTATAGTATTAGTCGTTAATTTTTTTTTTGCATTATTCGATGGAAAACGAACAACACAAAGAGGCTGTTCATAAACTACGTAGACAGTTTAGAGGGGGGGGGGGGGGTCAATCAATTATCCATGGCCAACACAAATTAAAAAAAAATTGTATGGAAAATTGTCTACGCAGGGGGGGGGGGTCAAGAATAAAAAAAAACTGTCTACGTAATTTATGGACAGCCCCAAACATGAGCGCTATCAATTGACATTTGAGCGTGTATTATGATTTTTAAGTTGTAATTAATTTCTGGCGTTATAAGTGCGCGAAAATTACGCACTCACTAGAATTTCGTGTCGCGTACTTGAAGAATGTAGAGATGAATTGGCCACAGGCTAAAAGTATCTATAATAAAGTTAAAAAAAAATTGGTGTGAGCTGGGTACCCGGGTACCCTGTTGAGCACATAATGGTTAACTTCTATCAATATGAAGATAATAAACCGTGATAAGAATAGAATAAGTTAAGTCGGAATGAAGATACTGTCGCTTGTAATAATTTATTTCTGATCTTTCTTGCTAAACCGCTACAAGTTTGTAGACCTGATCGGGAATCGAACCCGTCCTCTCCAGTATTGCTATAAGGCCTGTGCACCATATTCGAGTCTAGTATATTTGGCATAAGGACATTTGACGCAATGGACATTTGGCATAATCGTTACGAATCGAAGTTAATTTACAACCAATGATTACTCTTTGTTTCGCCTTATTATTTGTGTGACTTGTGAAAATATTCCCTTATTTGAATATTTAATAAAGAAGGGAACTTCACCACCGCATAAAAAGAGTTGGTGCATTGTGAAAGAACGAGTAGCAATTGAAAGAAGGAATAATCATAGATTGTAAATATAAATTGACTATTGGTTTCAAAAATATGTCGAATCATAACAATTATGCCAAGTGTCTATTATGCCAAACGTCCTTATGCCAAACGTACCAGACCCAGAGAAAACATTTAACAAAGGAACCACGTTCCATATTCTGCACGGCCACTGAGAATAACTCAGAGAAAGAGAGGGAGAGAGAGAGTCACTTCTACTCAGTTGTATGAGAAATTTCTAAAAACTGCACGTACTCAGCGCTGAGTTCCTGCAGTTTTCACTCCATACCTCTGGCAATGGTAGGCAAGACATACTTTAAATGTTTGAACATCAATGGAGAATTCAATTTTGAAATAGCGTTATATTCCTTTGCCTTGGGCACCATTCCAGCTTACCTCATTTTATTTAGGAACCCCCCCTCTCCTTAAATCAGTTTTCCAACAGCTACGTGCAGTTTTTTTTCACAGCATTCGTAATATAAATTATGAGCAATTAATTTGATGCATGAATGTTGGATGTTTGTCTTCATTGTTTTTGAAGCGTATGACGGAAGTGGGTTCCATATGCCGCTCGGCTTTTTCGTATTACTATATCTTAACTTGTTTTCAGAGGCATTCAATGATGGAGTCGGGTGATAATCACGCGCCCTCTAATACCAAAATCCCTGGTTCGATTCTCAAGTCATCCTGTTTTTTTCCTCGATGTCTTATAATTTGACTTTGTCGATTTGAAAAGTCGAATTATTTTTAAGTTAAAAATTAATCATTTCATTCGAGAAGTTTAAAATAACATTTACTAAAACGCGAACTTCAATATTTATTAATGATTTGAGATTGATTCTTTACGAACATCCAGAAAAATGCAATTCCAAAAAAGAGCATTACATTTGTTGGATCCCTTTGAATCACTGGTAGAAAATCATGCTGAAACCGCTTGATAAAGTAGACCATTGCATGAAATTCCTACACTGGGAACAAATGAACGTATGAATTACGAATTAGACACGCAGAAAAAGCACACGCGAATTTGGATTAAGATATACCCAATCTATGTTTCTTGTGTCGTTGTATCAATGAAGCGATAAGGATGGTAGATTTGATTTATAAACAGTTCCATCGATTCTGGTTTGTAATACCTAATAAACTACAGTAAATTTAAACATCAAAACAACAGGTACATTACCTTATCACTGTCCGAAAACAGCACTCCATAGTTCTTCTGAAACATGGCATACGAATTATCGGTCAATTCGTCGTTCACCTTCACCGATATTGTCGACGTCAGTATCTAAAAAGAAGGAAAAACACATCTCACATTAAAGCCAATCTATTCGCACGAACTGCCCCAGACTTCAAAGCTTACGTATTTCATCAGCTGGGTATTTTTCTGTCCCATATGATGAACGTACGCCATCGGTTGATGGCACAGGACATCCCCGCCGTCCGTCCCGATCACATGAGTTGAGAGATGATCGCTGCTGCTCATATCGGTCGCTTCCGCCGTGAACGTATACAACGGATGCAAACGTAACCCAATTTCGCGAGTCTGATGAAACGTCAGAGCGCACCGGTCGATCGCATACACGTCGTCAAAGGCCATCGTTATCAGCGGAAAGTGGGTGTTCCAACAAGCCGTTGTAACTTTGCTGCGAGCGTTTACGCTGCAAACTTCCACCGGAAGGTAACCCGTGCTGAGGTCAAATACTACAACCTTTCTGTCAGCGTTACACACCAACAGGTAGCGTGTATCATCTGAGTAGTGCAGATCCACAGCCGTTATGCATGAGTCGGGAATGAAGGCCTTGTGCACTGGTAGCAAGGCACGGACGCCATCCCTAGTTCCCATTAGCAGTGGCGACGTAGAATTGAGATTCCACACGGCAACGGCTCCGTTGGAATAACCCGCCGCTAGCACCGCGTGATTCTTACTCTTGGACCAGGAAAGTTTCACAGCACTGTGACACTCATACTGAGAACAACTGCTATCACCTTCCAGAGACAAGGTCAACTTGAGAACCGGAGTTAGGTTGACAACCCGGTAGCTATTCGAGATCAAGTTTTCGTAGTTTCGGGCCAGCGAAAAGATGTGCACGTTTCCATCGGATCCGGCAGCAGCGAGTAATCCCAGTCGGTCGTACTCGTCGCCTTCGTCCTTGGAATTGTAACACCCACTGGGGCAAAACTTTAGCGACCAAATGGGACCAAAGTCGCACGCAATCGAGTACAGCAGTGTGGGGGCCGAGTTTTCCACTTTTTTGTTGTACACACTGAAAAGATATATAAGTTAAATAATGATGAATTATGAGGTTCATGATGTGTGCTTACTTGCTATTGCTGAGGAAGCCCACATCCCAGATCTGGATCAAACACTTGGTCGGGTAGATACGATCCGCCAAGTAGAACTCATCAAAGTCATTCTTGCAAGCCACGGCCAAGATCTGGTGCTCATCCCGTCGGTCTGGCACTGGCAACCAATCCAGGGCAACGATCGGACCTCCGCAGTAGAATATCGACTCCTTGTCGTTCACCTGCCCGCTAAACACTTCCAAATGCTGCCACTTTTCGGTATACTCTTGCGCAAGGATCGGTGCGTTATACAGGTTCGTACTTCGTATCATGAATCGCAACGATTTGGCTCGCTTCGGAATGTACTCCTGGACCATATTGAACGTTAGAAAGCGGACATCCAAATCGGGCCGCAACTCGACGAACAGAGTCGTCCGGCTGTATTGCATCGCGCGGAATTCTGCCGTCCATTCCCGTGCCGTCAGGTGAAAGTCACTCTTCTGTGATCGCAGTTGGATCACCTCGTCCAGAACCACTGCAAAATCAGATTAAGGTAAAAATTACAACAAAACAAATTCCGAAGAAGGGATGAACTTACTCTCTCGGTACACATCGCTCTCCTCATTGAACTGATCTCGGGTGCTGTTCCCTAACCTGTTGCACGATTTCAGCAAGGACTTTATCGATTTACGCTTTGCCTTCTTAGGCTTCTCATCATCATCGAACGCTGTACTTAACGGTTCTTCGTTTTCGTCCGCTCCCGAGGTGCCCTCGTCTTCTGATGATTCGGAAGTCATCTTCGCATCCGTTCCGCTGCTGTCGGCCGCCGTGATGCTGGCCAGCACAGCCGAGTGTTTCAATTTTATGTGCTTCGCCATTTGTTCGATCATTTCCGTCTGATATTTGCAGTTTTTGCACTCAAACAGCTCGCACGGAGAAGGACAGAATTCGTGATGGTGCCGCATTTCCATTTCGTCGTTGCCGGTAAAATCGCAAGTCTGGAACACACATAAGGCCGTCTTTGCCTTGCGGAACTGAGTTTTCCACAATGCCAAGCAGCCATCGGTTACCTTTTCCTTGGACACCGTCAGGATCAACTCGCTAAACGATATGTTTTGGATGCGTTTCTCGGCCCTTTAAAGAAAAATAGATTAGTAAATTGAGAACAGGAAATTAGCAACAAAATCCAGCATACTTAGCAGTTGCCTTTCGCTTGATCGTTCCCCGCTGTGTCAACGTCACTGGATCCACCTGACTACTGGCTGCCTCTTCTGATTTCAGCTTTGCCAGATCCAAGGCCTGTTCCAGCTTCTTCTTCTTAAGCACCGGACAGTGCGATGATAGGTGGCAATTCATACTGACGGCCATTAACTTCCGATTGCAATGCTCGCAAGTTACCTTACTAGCTTCGATCTCTTGTTTCGTCATGCCACAAATCAACCGATGAGACACTAATCCGAGAGCTGATTTCTTAGCCACGTTGCACTTATCGCAGTAGATCGTCACTTGTCGGTGCACCTTCATGAAGCGGGTTACAATTGCCGTGGCAGTAGTTTCATCGTACAAATCGACCACCGGATCGATATCGACCCGATAGGTAAGGCCAATGTGCTTCGCATAGTGATGATCCCACATATCGCGGGGAATCCTTTCTGAACAGGCGGCGCATTGAAACTCCTGTATGGTTGGATCGACTGTTTCCGGATCAATCGGAACATAGGATTTGTTGTCACGTTTTGGTCGTAGTTTTTTCTCCTGCTGTCTCGACTGCTCGGCCGCATCTTCATCCTTTTTGTGTTGCTTCGCTTGCCGATCGGCATCCAATTCCTGCTTTGTGCGGCGTTTTCGTTTGGCAACTCGAACTGGTTCCGGAGTGGCAAAAACGTGTTCATCGGCTGGTGCAGATGCAGGTGGAGTTGGCGCTTGTATGGGAGTGGATGTTGCTGTCGGATCGGATAACTGGACAAGATCCTTAGAAAAGTACTGCTTCCGCGGAGGAGTTTCGGTGTCGTAATTTTCCGCATGGACGATTTGGTTGTTTTGAACGGTGACAACAGAGAGTAGCCGTTCGGTATTAGCTTCCGGGGTGATGACAGCGAACGACTCGTTAGGCGCAGTATAGTATTCAGGAGTGTCCGCAACATCCGGTGGTTCGGTTTTGATGAAGGTCGTCTCGCCAAGATAATTGCCATCTGCGATTAAAGTACCACGATGAGCGCCACCGCCTCGGAACAAGCGCCTATTGGCACTGAGATTCCGAACGCGGTCTCGCTGACGCATCATAGAACGCCTTTTGCGGAGCACTTTATGGCGCTTAGCTAGCGGGGCATCGTCTTCGTCTTCCGAGGATATTTGAATCGGAATACGATTGCTAACGATCGGGACGGGTTTAGTAGTGGAGCATTCTTTCGATTCTTGTTCTTCTCCTTTCCGTACCGCACAAGCTGTTCCCCCTGCTTCCTTCATCACCTCCGTATGACTTTCGCTGGGTGCTTCTTCCACTTTCGTTTCGGTTGATTCTGCTTCCGGTGCTGGTTTCTCCGCCAGAGGTGCTTTTTCAGCAAAAACGGATTTCGTGCGACTTCTCAGGGTCCTGCCCGCAGGTTTCTGAGTTTCAGCGACTTTTTCCGCTGCTCGCTCACGTGCTGATCTTTTCATTTTCGGAGCTGGCTTCTGCTGTTCGATTACTGGCTCTTGCGATGGGGAATCCTTGGTCGTAGAACTAAACCAAGCTTTAATCGATGTCTGCTTTGAAATGTTCGACCGAGTGGTAGGTGACTTGGTAACATTTGGAACTCCGTCCAATTTTCTATGACTACGGGTTTGTCTGGAAGGACTATCCTGAGTGATGGCAGCATACGACGTACTATCAAGTTCAGTGGAACTGTCTTTTCGAACACCGGGCACTTTTTCATGCAGATCCTTATCGTAGATGATACGAGCGATTATCCTCTCCGGCTCGCTGGCACTTGGTTCATCCCAGCGATTCTGATCGGTTAGCGCAATGTTTTCGAGAACTATTGAACACTGGGGTTCAACTGAAACATCTTGAGGGTTATCCAGCGTTTCAGTTTGCACTGCCACTGATTGATCATTCTTTTTCAAGTTGGTCAACTCATCAGAGTCGATTCTATCCAACAATACACGTGCAACTACCTGCGGTTTTACGCTCCTTTGTTTGACTGGTGATTCATCCCAATCCTTCAGTAGGCTTAACACGGATTGTTCCGTCGAATCAACACGAGATTGATTTTTGTCTTCTGCGACAGGTTCTTCCATTTGAACGGCTACTGGCTCGGGAGTCTTTTGACGTTCCATTAAATCCATTTTACGCACAGAGACTCGCACGGATTTAACCTCCGTAGGTACTGGTACTGGTACCTCTTCTGTCACTTGCACAGATTCCTCTGTAGGGTTTTCAGTCGCGGCGACTTCTGCTACTGGATCATTCAGCATTGCTCCCCGCTTCAACGCATTATTTTTCGATATACGACAAGGCACATTGCCGTTGTTGTCGAACGAAACATGCTTTCCGAACGGTCGTAAAATCGCCACATCTCTCGATGCTTCGTCCGAATCCCATTCATCCACCAGTTCTCGCACACTTCTTGGCTTTATCGCATCTAGTGTTTCGTTTGCATCAACTTGCTGCGGTTCTAATTCTTCAACTGCAGCAGGAAGTGGTTCATCACGATCCGAAAATGGATCACTGGAGTCCTCATTATCATCAGCAGTAGCACATTGGAGTTCAATCTCCATCGGTGGAGGTTGTTCCACCTTTCTAATCTTCGATCGGGAAACTAGCGTAGGTTTGAGCTTACGTTTAGGAGCTCTTGGAGCAGGTGCTTTCTTCGGCTTTGGCTCTTCTACCGGTAAGGCACTACTTGTATCACAGGTTTGATCACATATTGTAGTAGGTTGATTGAGTTCAATCACTGGGTTAGGATCGGTTGCTATTTCAGCTGAAATCTCCGGAATTTCGGATTCGTTGGTAACGTTTGGCACATGTATTGACTGCTCCACAGGAGTATCTTCCATCTGTTGTTCCTCAGTCACAGCGCTCGCAATTTCCGGTATCTCTTCCTCCTGTTTGTTATCCTCTTCCTGAGGTTCCTCAGCCACAGCACTCGCAGATGTCGTATTCTCTTTTTCCGGCCTGCTTTCTTCTTCCTGCGATTTCTCAGCCACGGCGCTCGCAGTCTCCACTTTCTCTTCCTCCTTTCTGCTATCTTCCTCCAGAGGTTCCGCAGTCACAGCTATCGTAGTCTCCATTTTTTCTTCCTCCGCTTTGCTATGCTTCTTTTCCGGAAGTTCCGCAGTCACAGCGCTTGCAGATTCCGCTTTCTCTTTTCCCTGTTCGTTTTCCACGACAAACGGTTTCAGAATCTCTGCGAAAATATCGATGTCGGATTCGTTAGAATCAATTTCCACTTCAGATTCGGTTGATCTCATCAAGTCTGTTGATTCAACAGCATCTGGATCCTTTTTAACATGCACAACATGCGGCAACCGCTGCACCACACCATCATTATCATCATCCGTATCAGAAATTTCAACAACCGGTAATTGTTTCTGCTGCGTCGCCACAATATCAGCAATCAACGACTCTTGATTGACATGCTTCATCAGGAGATCCATCAGTTCCTTATTACCGTTCTTTTTCTTCTTCCGTCGTTTTCTTCGTTTTATTCGCTTCTTCACTTTCTTCGCCGGTGAATCGAATCGTAATGTTTTCCGTTCCTTCTCCACCAGGGCCAAAATATCCCTGGCCAGATCTTCATCCGCTTGACTCGTATCCGAATCGGAAAAATCCTCCTCCTTCACGTGTCGCTCGAATGCGCTTCGTCCCTCTGCAGACTTTTCCCTTTCTTCATCTTCAACCTTCACCTTCAGCTCGGATGCCTTCTCCTCCTCCTGACTCTCTTCCTGACTAGTCGTTTCAACGCAGGGCAACTGTTCTACTCGTAGTTCTACATCTGAATCGTCGACAACAAAGGTTTTCCTTCGGGTGGTTATCCTCGGAGGAAGCTTCACCGGTGCTTCCTTTTTCACTTCCACAATCTGCACTTCCTGTGCCACTTCTGGAGGATCGATCAGTTCCGTTATAATGAACGTTTCACCTTCCAATCCTGCTGTCACCGCCGTCACAACGCTCGGTTTCCTGTTTTTGATCCTACCTCTAACGTTTGGAACATTTTGATTTTCAGTACATTCCTGCGGCGGTTCCGGGCTTATCTTTCGTTCCAATTGCTGCACCGTTTCGCTGAACTGTTGGAATATGCGCTGATCGTTTTTGATAACCGCCTGCGGGAAACCATGGAAGCCCGTTTCCGATTGATACCGCTGTTGATGGTGTTGCTGCACCTGTTGTTTAGACTGACCGGCCGGCGGTGGTTTCGTTACACTGATCTTGGTAAGGTAGATCTTTCTTCCCTGACAAATATACTGCTTGATGACGCGATTGTCGGTCGGTTTGGGAGGTGGCTGGGAACTGCGAGCCATTTGCATCCGGGGTTGTTGAAAGTCCTGCGGGTGGTAAACTTTGGTACTGCGATGAGGAATTGTTGGAATCAGGTGCTCCGAAACAGAAACTAGTTTAGGTACAGTTAGTTGAGAAGCCATCGAAGCTGACGGCGGTGGAGGATGAGTTATTGACGGTGGAGTTTCCAATGATGGGCTTTCTGGTTGTGATTTCTGTTGCAGCATCCTGGCTCGTAACTTGTCCCGAAGCTTGTTTCTGATTTCCTCCGAACATGGTGAATAGTTTTGGAGAGGTTTTGGCTGCTCGGACGGAGGAGTACTTGTAGCGGATGGTGGCGATCGATCTTGCTGCTCCACATAACTGCTGTCGATTACTATCTTTGGAATAACACACGGTTTTTGCGTCGGCTGAGCTTGAGATGAACTTTGCACTGGTTCAACTGGTCGGAATGCCTTATTCTGGCTCGAAATCGTTGGGATAACATAATTGAATTGGGGTCGCTGCAGTGGCTGAGGTTGTGAATGAATTTGAGATTGCTGGGATATCAAGAATCGTGGCGTTGGGTATATGACCTGATGCTGATTTTGTCCGGCTGCCGGATAGCGATTATAGTATGTAGCCTTTGGAACCATGAGATGCTGCCGAGACTGTTGCTGCTGATCCTGTAGCTGGGGTTGGATTTGAGGCACGGTTCTTCCTCTGACTGGTGCAGGATGGCGAACCAAAACGAACTGGGTAGCTGCAAACCTAGGTCGTTGTTCTTGTATGGGGTGTTGCTGGATACTAGCAGGATTCAGAATCATCCGCTGAGTCATCATGCGGGGCGGATTCATAGCAGGTCGGGATACCACCGTAATATGTGGACGGTATGGTGTTGGTTGCGATAAAGGTTGAGTGTTGGGGATTTTGGCGTAATACGTAATAGATGGTTGCACGCTGGGTATGCTTGTCGGTTGTTGAATGACTACCGGAGCTTGCATCGTTTGCGGATAGATGGGTTGAGATGGACTCGCGGCATAGGAAACCGCATATTGCTGAGAAGTTGGAACTTGAGAACTGGAGAAAACAGTTTGCTGAACAGAATGGTTCCTTGCTTCCTGCTGTTGAGGGATGTTCTTTGGAGGTGGGCCATATTGCACTGGTATGTTCTCTGAATGTACTTCACGCTCTGGAATGATATACTCGTCGGAAGTTTCGTGCAAAGAATCCACGGTATCATCTTTCTCGGTTGTTACCGTAACTTCGGAAGCAACATCATCTTTCATTATAGGATCTTCAATCATCGGAAGATCGTGAATCGGAGCCGGAACAGGTGCAACCGGAACAGAAGTCGTAGGCTTTCGCGCCCGTGGCATAGGCAGCGGAAGAGGCATGCCACCCGAAGGTCCTGTATTATATCCCTCTGTTGATTTACCGGCCAACAATTCTTCCAGGTTGTAGGATGCAGTGGGCAAGATAACCTGAGACAAAATTTCCACCTTTCGCCTGGTCTTGGTCGTTGGTTCCTGTGGTTCGATCTTGATTTCCGACACCGACGCAGTGGAGGAAGGAGTCGTTGGTTCACTGGGGGCCGAACATTCCACTACGGTAGTACTTTTTGACTCAGGAACAGCGGGAGTTTCCTTCCTTAGAACCAACTTGGGAACGGATATTCCTTTCTGTTTCAAGGAATCCACCAACTTCATCGCCACGTTGCGTGGCAGTTGGGATATCCGTCGAATTTCCTTCTGGGGATTTGCTTCCTGTTTAGCCTGAACTGGAGGTGGATCATGCGGCCCTTGATGAAAAGCTGTTTGCACACGATCAGCCAGCGGTTCCAACGGATGCACTAGGGGTACTGGAGGAATTGTCTCTGTAACTTCTTTGGTTGTTTCAGGTTTTGTCGTCCGGGGTGACACAGCTATCGCCTTCTTTATGTTGACCGAACTTAACAGCTTTTTAGCAATATCCGGTGGAAGCCGTGCTATCCGTTTGATTTCCTTCGTTGATTGTGGTGCTGATGCAGGCTGTTCAACAGATATCACAGAACGTTCCGCCGAGTCGGTCTCTTTGGTTCTTTCGACCTCGATCGGCACTTTTTCAGGTACAGCGGCAGGCAGCTTTAGCTCTTCTTTATCGACATCGTTTTCCTGTGTAGGTAATTGCTTCACCGCACTGACAATAACACTGGCTAAATTTGGCGGAAGCCTCGATATCCGCCGTATCGCTTTGGTTTGCGAAACTACCGTGTCTGCAGCAGGGCTAGGTTCTGCTGCTACCGAAGGTAATGGCTCCGATTTCTTTACTGGATCCGGCTGAACGGGTTCCTGTGGCTTCTTCTTCGCAGAATTCACAACGACACAATTCATCAGCTTTCTTGCTACGCTCGGAGGAAGCGGACATATTCGTCGAATTTCTTTCGTCGGATTAGGTGTCCTCTGCTCAGCAGACTTGACGACCTGTTCCAGCTTTCGTTGAGCAACGACAGGAGCTTCAACACTAACAGACTCCTGGGCAACGATCACATCGGACTTTTCAACAATAACAGAGTCCTTTGAGATCTCTAGGGAATGCGACGGTTCCAAATTTATAACAGCACTATGCAAACGGTTAGGATTAGTGCGCATCTTTTCCATTTGTCGCTTCCAAACTTCCGCCGGAATTTTTCTACTTTTCCTACTCGCTTCAACTGAACTTTTAGCTCCAGCCTCAATTTTGGCCTTTTCCTCGGCTTTTTTCTTCTCTTCCTCCTCTATCACTCGCTGATGTTCTGCTTTTTTCTTTTCTTCCTCCTCTATTCTTCGCTGTTCTTCGGCTTTCTTCTTTTCTTCCTCCTCTATCCGTCGCCGTTCTTCAGCTTTCTTCTTTTTTTCCTCCTCTATACTTTGTCGTTCTTCTATTTTCTTCTTTTCTTCCTCCTCTATCCGTCGTCGTTCTTCGGCTTTTTTACTTTGCTCTTCCTCTTCCTCTATTCTTCGCTTCTCCTCGGCAGCCTTTCGTTCCTCCTCATGCTTATTCCTTCGTTCTTCTTCCACACGTATCCGTTGTTCTTCCTCATGCTGTTTTCGTTTTTGCTCTTCATCTTCCTTCGCTTTCTGCTGCTCGATCGAAACCTTCTCATTTTCATCATCATCATCCTCCAGGACAATAGTTTCCTCTGGAATCAAATCCTTTAGAGATTTACTCGGTTCGTTGCTTCCAGAAAGCAGTTCCGACGAACTGTTCTTTTTCAGAATCGACTTTTTCGGTCTGCTCGGGTTGAGGCAGATTGCCACCTTGGGTTTAATCCTCCGGAAGGCTGTCGGTCGTATCACCTCCCCTGCTGATTCACTTTTTACCGCCACGCTCTCAGCTGCAGCAGGTTCAGTTTCATTGTTGATGGTTTCTTCAATCTGTGCAGGTGGCGGAGGAGCATCGGCAAGGGGTGACGTTTTTGCAGCAGCTGCTTCTTTGGTTGCTTCAGACTGCGAAGCTGGTTTGGCCTTTTCTTTTTGAGCAATTTTTTTGGCGATCACGACTGGTACTACTTTCTTTCTTCGGAAAAGATTGGAACCCCCTCCTGCCCCTGGTGCTTTGGCAACTGCTGGAGGTAGTGGTTTGGTGGCAACGGCAACTGGCGGCGGATCGACTGTTGGTTCCGTAGCGGGTTCTGCAGCTCCAACGGACGGTTCCGGATCTGCGGTCATGCAAAGTGCAGTAGTATTCGTCGGTTCCCCCTCTGTTGCGGTCACTGTGGTTGTCGAAGCAGCTGTTATTGGTACTGTTGGCGGTGGTGTAGGAGCAGGAGGCTTCGCTTTTGCTTTGGCTAGAATCGAAAAGAAGAAGAATACAATAAAATACTTCTAACCACGGATTGGCGGATTGGTCTGGATGCTGGATAATGTGGTAAGCGTAGCGCAATGGAAGAACGAAGTCTGATGCCCCGTTCTTAGCAATCCGGAGAACAGCGATGCTTTGGATTCTGTTACGCTCTCAAGCCCAAGTGCACAGCTGCATCAGTAATAGTTCTTGAGATGATTTAGGGGCTGTTCATTAACTACGGATACAGTTTTTGTTTTGGGATTTTCGACACCCCACCCTCCCCCTGCGTAGACAATTGTTCATACATTTTCTTTATTTGTGTGTGCCGTGGATAAACTGTCTACGTTGTTTATGAACAACCCCTTATCTACTACACACAGAATGTGGGTTTGGGTGCCCTTAGAAAATTATATATATTTCAAAAACAATTAAGTCCTTTTCGAAGAAACATTTAAATAATTAAATTTAAAAAAAAAAACTTGCTGATTAGAGTCATAATTTCTGTTGCAGATGTGAACTGTAGCTGTTCCTGTTAGAATAGGCATATATATTGTTAAAAGCAAAATAATACAGCAATTACAGTAACTAACTCGATATTGAAGATATGCTTGAGTAAGGGATGATATCGAGTTATGGAAGCGGATAAATATAATAAAAATATGTATGGAAAAAAGCAATCGAATTAGTATAGATATTCACCACGCAAAGGAGAGTTGTTGTTTGGTAATTGGGTGGTCGGATGGTCGGACCGAAGAATAAAAAGAACTTCTATAAATTTCTATTCGGCAATATATAGCCTCTATTTTGCTGGAAAAATATTACATTGTGATTAAAATGTATACATTTTTGGAAAACTCGTCCTCAACCTATAGTGGAACGCATCGATTTCAAAGAAGTCAATATTTTGAGCGGAACTATTTCTCGATGAACATTTCAAATGGTCCTATCTGCTTTGATCGATTCTCTTCATCGACTTTTTCTTTCGTCAATAACTCAGCTGCAAAACCTTTCCCTGTTGTATTTGATGTTTTGGACGCTAGATAAGAACCTCCTTTATCAAACTATGTGGTAGAATTAACGCGAAATCTGTTTGCATAGCAGTGGTTATGAAAAGAGAAAGTCGATTAAGAGAATCGAACAAAGCAGATAGGACCATTTGAAATGTTCATCGAGATTTCTAGATAGAGCTGGAATTAGAGCGTAACAGCTTTTGTAAACAATGACTTCTCTCGATGATTTCTCGGAAGCCATGGCTTTCCCTGGCAAATCAACATCACCATCGAATAGAGGAAGACTTCTCCTACCCGATGGATATATTGGTTTGTGTAGGCGTGCCTTGAATCCCGAGAAATCAACGAGAGAAGTCATTGTTTACAAAGATTGTTACGCCCTAATTCCAGCTCTATCTAGATTTTTTCTCCGTCATTGTTGGGCTGAGAGTTGCTGATGAAAAATAAATTTATCTGAATTTCTAATTTTATTCCGGCATAACTCTCATACCACAACCACAGTTACTGGAACACCTACTCTATATACATTTGAATTGAGCATAAAACTAAAAGCGATTCAGTCGTAAAGATCACTAGGTTAAATGGGCAATTACTAAGACTTTAGTAGCATTTTTTCCTGGATCATGAATTTGGCGATCAAAATAATCAAAATTTACTCAACTCAGTGGCGTCTTAACCTCAATCTACCTGTTATACTGCTCAATATTGGTTCCAATGGATACAAATCAGTGAAACTGATTTGAATGTAAACATGACCCTAAATAACGTTTTCAAAGTTGTTGAACAGGTAAGTAAAAAGTGAGGATGCGCGACGCCACTGGTTTAACTACTGTATGCGTGATAATGTTTGCACCATTGAGCAATGTCAAAATTAAAAAAATTCTCAAAAATTTCGTTTTCGAATTTTTTATTCATTCAAAAGGGGGATGTTTCTCAGAGTCTTAAGCTATGTTAATCATCGATCGAGTATTTGCTGCAATTACGGCCTCCACACGCTTCCGGAATGCACGGAAGGTTCTAATAATATAGTCTGGATCCATTTCTCTCCAGGTACGGGTGTCTGAGGCTTGCTGTACTCGGGTGGCATTTAGAACAGGCTTTGGCCTTCATGACCTCCGTGTTGACCTTGTCGCCTTCTAGAATGAACACCGGGTCAATTGTTTTGCCATCGGAAGCCACCAATCCAAACATCATAACGCTAGCTTGGTCAGATACACGTTTTTGTGCTCGTCGACCACGTCTTTTACCGGAAGAGAACTAATATACCGGTCGGTTCTGGAATTTGATACGGGATCGACAGTAAACATGCTCTCGTCGGTGAACAGGATTACCGGATTTTTTCGCTTAAGGATGTTCAAGATTTTCTTGCATCGTTCGACTCGTATCTCCCGGATGCGGTTGGTAACGGAAGCAACTTCGACTTCTCGCACAATCTTCCTTTACGATCTTCCGTACCGTAGAGTCACTGATCCTGTGTTCCTTTGCCATTTTCCTTATTGAACGCACTGAATTCACCCGAATCTTCCTTTTGATAGCAGCGATAACCCTCGGAAAACCGAGCTCATCTCGGACGACCTGTGGCCACCTTCGCGGATAGTTGTCCTTTCTTTTCTCGGTCCAAAACCCTCGGTCCATCGGGACACTCCCACGGCGATTGAAATGTCTTTTTGCGACATTTGCGCGTGAGACAAATCACGAATACGCTGCCACTTCGTCATGGTGCATCTGTCAAACTAAGTAAATCTTTTTCTTTTATACACAGCCTACTACGGTATGAGCTATAGGTTACGTGCATGCAAAGAAAACCAAGGCATTGTATGCACAGGTGAAACGGGAACCTTATTTGTACGATGGTGCAAACATTATCACGCATACGGTACCTTGAAACTTTATTCAAAACTCATAGGATTTTATGAGATTGTTCTCAATAATTTGATTTAAAATCAGTTCACTTAACAAAGTTCTTGTCAGTTTCATTTAAAATTTATTTGAAATTTTCTCTGGGAATCCCTCGAACATACTAAAAAAAATCATGAAATTCATCCTTAAATTCTCTTTGATTTTTTTTTTTCTAAAATTTCACTGAAGCTTCTTTCTGCTTTTTTTATCTCGCTTGAATTCTCCTTAGAATTTCCATGCAATTCACCCCAGAATAGCCTTAAAATTTTGCGCAAAATAATCTAGAAAATTCCCGATACCCTTGGTTTTTTCACGGATTCTGGAATCCTCTTCACAATCGTCATGGAATACTTAAAACATTTGCTCTGAACTCTCACAACTGACTTGGAGTTCTAGTTAAAAATGATTTCATCTTAAATCTGAGTAAGGACCTTCCGTATTCTGGTGCAGTTCCTTGAACTCCACGGCCGAAGATATCCAGGACCTGTATGACCGTTTCAAGCAGCCCAAGTTCCAAGCTTGTTTCGAATCCAGGATTGCCTCGTCCGTCCATCGAAAAGGATGATGACGCTCTAATAAATCGATCATACATGGCGATGATATCGCCTACGCATAACCTGTCCTGTGGATTTTCCAACTCTGAAAATCTGAACCACAAGACGCGTTGGAAGCGACATTCGAAAATGCGGAGCTGGACGGAAACGCCAAAAGGCTTTTGGTACAGACGTAGAAACCTAAGACAGCCAAACAAAGCCAGAAAGACTCAAGAGAGAGAAGAGAGCTCGTCAAATCAGCCGCAGCAGAGCTCACTCGTCAAATTAGCTACAGTAACCAGAACTGAACTGTTCTGCCTGCCAGAAGCCTGGTCATTACGGAAGGCATTGCCAGGAGCTACATAAGCAGAGCTTGGAGGAGTGGTGGAAGACTCTCTGTTTATACAATAAACATGTCGCATCCAGAGTAGCTGTAAAGTGCAAGGTTGTCACAAGGTGACTACATATATACTAGACTGATGCAAAATTTGACTTTTTCGCTCCACAGTGCTTAAATGGTTTCAAATCAGGTCGTGATTAGCCTCCAAAAGTTACAACTCATTTGGTTAGAAACAGACTTCGCACAAACCATTTGAAGTTTACATGTAAATTACTATGGGAAATCTCAACTTTTTGTTCATTGCCTTCTAGGCTTTTTCCATAATAAACTGCAAAACAGCTCGATAGCTATTCTTATAGAAAATTTTCTCAGCTAAAACTTTGCTCAAGATCGTTTCTATGTAAAACGAGACAGGAAATAGTCATTAATTATTTAAGAGATTGGTAAACTTTTGACATGATCAAGCAGCTGCTCTGTAGGCAACACTGTATTTTGCAGTGTGACATAGTAGCCATAATTTTTGTGTCCTATTCAACGCCCCAGAAACACCAATGTTGCCTGCTGAGCAGTTGATAAAGCATGATTATAAGACATTAGTGCATTGAACCATTAATAACTTTTGATCCTTGCATTTAATCAAAAAGTGGTCTTGAACAAAGTTGTAGCTGGGAAAATTTCCTACAAGTAAAGTTGAAAGCTTTTGAAGCAGACCGATATGGTGAATTATTAGATAGACATGAACAAAAATCTTGGTTTTACCATAGTAATTCCCATACAAACTTCAAATGGTTTGTGCCATCTCAGTTTCTTACCAAATGGGTTCAAATTTTGAGAGGTTAGTCAGAATCCGATTTGGAATCGTTTAAGTATTGTGGAGCGAAAATTTCAAAATTTGCATCACTCTAATATATACCCACCATGGTCAAGAGTATGCTCTGCTACATAGTGGACCGAATGAAAGATCCTCGCGAGTACAACCATCGTCAGCGGGAACTTGCAGTGTGGTTCAGCATGCAGTGTGGCCAGTGATTTTTCATTTTCAAATTCCTGGTTTTCCCTTTACAAATCTCAATAATTCCACGGTTGATAATATTCAGTAAAACAACGAAAATGTTCAATGATCACATTTATTAGTTAAACGAGCAAACTTTGGATGTTTTTTTTTTAAGGTGAGGGACCAGATAATGTCAATGAGTCACTTTTACTCAGTTCTATGAGAAAT